AGAGATAGGTTGTCTACCCTTTTTGCCTAAAAAGTCGGCATGTAAAAGTAATAAATGACATACTCGGACAATATCAAGGTCATCCATCCGAGTAAAACCATCTTTAACAAATAATTTCTTCAAGTCGTCGACGTGTAAACTCGGCTTCGACTTTGCCAGCTCAGGAAATACCCAAGATAACCATGATGGGCGGGAGATATGACTAGTGTACCGGGTTACTTCATCGTGTCCGAAGCGTAGACCAGTGATTAAGCAAAACTCCTCCCGCCCAAAACAAGTATACGCCGGTGCCGGAGGAAAATGAAACCATATCTCTTCATCACCACGTTGTATCCTCTCGGGTAGATCGTTAGTCATGGTCTGAAGAAACAAATGTGTCAACATAGCATCTCCACACGTATGTTGTACTTTCAGCCATGGCTCGAAGCAAGTATCCTAAACCAATTTTCTTTGTAGAGGTGTAAGCGTCGACGCAATTTTAGTGGCTAGGCTTAATTTATTCCTTAAGGTCAATGCAGCCGGAAAAAAATTCTACAAAAACAATAAACATACCAAGTTAGATAAACCAAAAACTACAAATTATACACTATAAACAGACATGATATTAAACAGTGAAAACAAAGCCAAATATGTTTCAAACTAGCACGGTATTCACCCAAGTCATTATTCCAACATAGTTCACAAAATGCATCAAATAACATTCCAAAAGTAAGCACTTATATAAACATTTAAAAGGACAACATATAGGTTTAGTGCAGGTTCAAGGACAACATAAAGAGTAGTAGTTTATTCTTGAAACTTAAATTAGCAACACTGTGAAGTTAGTATTTGTCTTTGTTTTGTCTTTTTGTTGAAGTAATGCAATTCATTCAAGTTTCAATTTGCAGAATAAGAGTAGTTTCAAAAACTATTCTTCTGCAAAATGAAACTTGAATGAATTGCATTTCTTCAACAAAAAGACAAAACAAAGACAAATACTAACTTCACAGGGTTAAAGACTAAACAGTTTAGCAGTATTGGCAGCAACCGAATGAATTTACTAAGCAATCTCAGTGAAATGGTAAATCTTTATATATATTGAAATTACCATTAAATTTATCATCAATATAAGAAAAATCTAATAATAATACAAAAATTTCAAAATAAAAATAAGAGATTAAAAAACTAACCCTCGGTGGTTGATTTTCCATTTCTGACCGTGAATGGTTGTGAGGGTTGCTCTAAGAGATGGAGATAGATGGATTTCGCCGGAGATGGGGACGGATTTTGTCGGAGATGGGAACGTATGTCGCCGTAGAGAGTGAGAGATGGAGATGAGACTGAGTTGTGATTTAGGGTTTTAGGTTATGATTTGCGATAATATTGTTTACATTTGTGTTGCGAAATTAATATTGTGTTTCGCGTTGCGAATTTGACTATCACGTTGTGAATTTGACTTTTGTGTTGCGAATTTGAAATTCAGTATTGCGAATTTAACTATCGCGTTGTGAATTTGACTATCGCGTTGCGAATTTGACTTTTGTATTACGAATTTGACTTTTGTGTTGCGAATTTGACTCTCGCGTTGCGAATTTGACTTATGTGTTGCGATTTACAAATTCGTGTTGCGATTTACAGATTCGCGTTGCGAATTTGGAAAATCGCAATGTGAATTTGGAAAATCGCAATGCGATTTACATATTCGCGTTGCGAAATTGGAAACTGGGTTGTGAAATTGAAGTTCGCGTTGCGAATTTTTGGTCATTTTGGCAAATCCAAAAAAAGTTGGTTAAAATCATATATTATAAGGCATTTTCAGTCACTGATGTTATTTTCTCTTAAAATATTATGTATGATTATCTTAAAATTTAACAAAACTACCTTAGAATTAATTAATTGATTATTGAAAATTGATCAAAAATACCTTAGAATTAATTAATTGATTATTTAAAATTCTTTTAATTAATTGATTATTTAAAATTCTTTTAATAAATTAGACTTCAAAAAATTCATTGATAATTAGTTTGGTAGTAAACTTTAATAAATCTCCAACAATTTAATAAAATTTATGCTTTATTATTTAACATTCCTAAATGTAATGATATTTGTAATTTGTGCTTCACAATTGATAATAATTTGAATACTTTGGTAGAATTTTTTTATTTATTATTGATGAATACAACTTTAGTTATTTGTAATATGAACAAAAGCAATTTAAAAACATTAAATTCAATAACTAAAAATTTCCTTATTCCTAAGACGTCAAGCAAACTACAAAATCATTTCATAAAAGGGTCCCACTCTTCCACTTCTTCATGTTGTTTTCTTTCAAGTAATATACTTCAAGAAAAATTTCTCCGGTTACTACATTTTCAATATTATTTTCTTAAATATAATTTTTTAAACAATATTATAGGGACAACGTTCGGAATAATTGATGTCTTAATGAAGATATCGAGAATATCTGACGTCTTTCCAATGCGCTAATAGTCGAGGTAAGCTCATGGTTTCTCTCTCCATACTCCTATAGTCTTCGTATCTTTTTCGGATATGCAGAAGATATCTATTGTTTCTCATCTTATATTATTGTTCAAAACACTCCATTAAAAAAACTTTTTGGGTGGAGAAATTCTTTTCCCACTATGATATCTGGATAAAATTGCATGTTCTATTAGAATTTTTTTTGTTCTTTGAGGACAAAAAGAATATTGACGATAATTAAGTGAATTTAAATAACTAAAACAAAAATTATCTTACCTCAATAAATTCCACAATCCTATTATTTTATTAATTATTTTTATTTTACATAAAAATATATTATATTCATTTGTAAATGTAATTTTTAGTACATATATATAAGTATTTGAAGTTATAAAATAAAGTACAATTATAAGTACTGTATATCTGGTCAAACCATGATTAGAATATGTTCTTTAGGACACAACAACATAAGATTTAAAACAAAAGCATAAAACGACTCATATTTAGTGGTGCAAACGAATCGAGTTGAGTTTGAGTATTGTTGAGTTCGACTCGACTTTAAAACTCTGAAACAGACTTGACTCGATTCGAAAATTCGTGAGCTTAAATTTTTCAAGCTCGACTCGAACTCGAAATCCTGAACTTAAGCTCGTGAGCAGCTCGAAAAATCTTGAAATGAAAAAAAAAATCTTAAACTTAACTCGATTAAAACCTCAAACTCGAACCTTAACCTTAAATATATGAAATTCTTACTGTATTTTTAAAAAAAATCAATACATAAATGTTAATATTATTAATAATTTATTAAAAAAATAAAATCTTAATATATTATATTTTTGAGCTGCTCACGAGCTTTTTGAGTCAAATATCAAGTAGTTCGTTTCGGCTCGTTAAGAACTATCCAAACATTTATCAAGTCGATCTCGATTAGCTCGCGATCTGTCTCATCTCATTTACAACCCTACTCATATTACTGTAAAAATAAAATCGAATCTAAATACTCAATTACTTATAATCTAGAATCTTTACTAATTCGATTAAAACTCTATTTGATGGTAAATAACACAAATAAAAAAATAAAGAGTCTCTTTCCAATCAAATCTCATAATTCAATCAATCACTCCATTACTCGATAGCTATATATGGTATATAATATCTAATAAGATACATAATACCCATATGTATATTTATATGATTTTAGCATTAATTTAATATATTAATATTTAACATTTTTTTAAAACAGAGTATATCTATTTAAAGCAAATCAATAAATGCAGAATCACAGGATCCGGTTCATCAAATTAAACGAGAGATATGCTTAAAATCGTCAAATCAATCGGGTTTTTCTTTTTTAATAGTTTGAGATTATTAAAAGAAATTATTTCTTTAAAAAAATTTAAATTTATTGGTAATATATATATATATTTTATAAGCACAACTATTTAAATTCAGAATATGTAAGGTGAAATCACGTAGGGGTGGAAGGGGATATAGCCCACTTCAACTTTTATGGTTTAATTGTATTTTAAATCCTTAAAATTTTGAAATCATTAAAATTAAGTCTAAACCTCTTAAAATGTTATTGTTTAATTATTTTTAAGACATTATCAGCTTTAAAGTTAAATGAAATTAAGTTTTGCTTCTAACTTTTCTGATTTAATTACATTTTAGGACATGTCAATTTTAAAATTAATGAAATTAAGCTCCAATCCTCTATTTTTTTGTGATTTAATAACCTTTTAGAATCTTGTTAGTTTAAAAAATAAGCAACTTGACTCCTCCCATAATTTCATCCTTAAAGAATATCTAAGGAGAATAATTTTCTCTTTTATAACTAAAACTACTTAATGTGTTCTGAATAAGTTTTGTTTTATGATGGAAGTCGAGATTTCATCTCATTAAACTTCTTATTCTTAACGAGAAATGACCATAGATAAAAAAAAAATAGATGGAATTGTTCTATTAGTCCTCATATCATGTGGGAGTTATAGAATTGATCCTTATATTCTAAACTGTCATTTCGGACCAAATAATAGTCATGAAAATTTTTAATCAAATTTTGTTTTTAATGTCTACATTACGCGCAAACTGTAGATATATTCATAATTTTAAATACATATAATTTAAACACATGGTACTTTTACTGTTCGGGTGCAAGTAAAATATCGATTCGAAAGTACAGAAATTAAAATATAAAGATTAAATTTATAATTTATACATGATATAGATACTAATGACAAAATTCGATAAATAAAAAAACTAATATTTCTCTCTATACAATTAAGATAAGCTAGTTATGGTATGATGATTTGGACGTGTAACCAAACTAGGAGTTGTCATTTTTGAAGAGATTAAAGACATATGTGCAATACTGGTTAAGTACTGGCCGATTACTTACCGGTTAGGTTCGAAAGGGGTTAACCCTGGAACAAACAGGTCCGGAGACCAGAGCAACAGCAGATAAATGAAGATTGGAAACTATTATTAGAAGGTTTCAGTGAGTAGATTTGAAGTTCCGAATTCAACAGCATCACAAGAAGCACTGGGATAATAGGGTACTATTGTGATCAGCTACAGTTTCTAGGAGGTAACATACAAATACTCATATCCCTCCCAACATATACATTAAGAAAACGACCCTTTATTCCAAATAATGTTCAAGGTCGATTCAACCATTCACCATCCTCCTCTCTGAGAACCACCACCAGAGGAATGCACATTCATCCGATCAAGCACCTTGTTAAAATCCACCGCCTGCCCGCTCTCCTCCATCCTCTGAATCACACTGGCAACATGGTCACCCCTGAAACCCATGCTAGCTAATTTTTCAATCAGATCGTTGTAAGGATGATTGCGAACATACTGTGGATGGCCAGTGTTACTAATGCTAGGTTGAGGAGTCTGGAGAGGGACACTTGCAGGGGGATATCCCCCCTGTGAGAAGTGAGGCTGTTGGGGAGGGTGATGTGCTCTACTCCCTTCACTACCATACATCATGTATGCAGTTCCTGGAGGAAGAGGGGGATGGGAGCCGGATGCCTGATACCCATCTCCTGGTTGTGCTTCAAAAGTACCCTTGATTTGCTGGGGAGGTGTTCTGCCAGGCACCCCGTACCCGTAAGGAATAGTATCCACACGACTAGGCACAGGTTGAGGAACTCCAGAATATGGAACCTGCATAGGGGTGCTGTGTGGTAATTCCTCGGGAGGAGTTGGGTTCAATGATTGTGTAGGAGGGTAGGGAGGGTAAGCTGGTGTTGATGGAGGCCTCATCGGTGGTTGCATAGAGGGCTGCTGCTGCTGTACTTGCTGGGGTGGTAATTGTTGTGGCCACTGCTGCAGATACTGAGTGAATGACGGGACAGGTGGTAGCTGATGGGTTTGTATGTGAGAAGTTTGGTATTGTTGATCAGGAGGCAAATATTGACTCTGAGTGTGTTGGGTTGATGCAGGGGCTGAAAGCGAAGGTTGGGCAGCGGCATGGGCAGGAACTGGGGCTGGGACCAAAGCAAGAGTGGGAGCCGGAGCTGGGGCTTTGGATAATTGGTTTGAAGGTAGATAATAGGATTGTTGGGTCAAATTCTGAGGCGGGGCTTGAGAGTGCTGCACCAAATGCTGTTGTGGTGGTGCAACTTGATGTGGAAGGGCAAGAGCTAATTGCTGGTTTGGCATCTCAGATGTGTGGTCAGTCTTTTTAGAATCAGAGGCAAGTGGTGATGCTCTCTCCTCGGTGGATTGTGAATGGCTGGAAGAAGTAGAATCCTTGTGAACAAGTTGTAATTTAGCCAACTCCTTTTGAGTCTCAGCTAGCTCCTGCTGATCTCTTAGTATCTGCACAGACCTGTGGACCTACAAAGTGGATCGAATACTTGAGAAATAAAATTTCGGAATCAAATGGGATGGTTCCAATCGATGATTACCAAGGCATCTATACAGACAGCAAGAGAAAGAAGTAACAAACAAGGTGATGGGACTGAAGTCCGGCTGGAAGAAATTCCGAGCTCAATTCTCTAATACACGGATCAAATATGTAATTTAAGAGTGGCTTATCTCCAGAGTATTCAACTAAGAGAGTTTGAAAACATGCAGAATGAAACTGAATCCAAGCCTAATCTCAATATGATATGAATCCAAAGAATAAAATTTAAAATTCTATCAAATATTAATGCCAACAGCAGAAGCTGGAGTTTATCCCCTGAATATAACAGCAGGAGCACAATAACCACCATATATTTTCTGGTCCATATTTAATGTACTTCTCTTCATGCTGCTCCATTTTAGATATCAGGTTGGTGCTTTCAGAGGAAAAAATAAATATATGTTTGATGTAAAGGACAGGGACCATAAAATCATCTCAAGGCTTCAAAAGGGAAAAAAATACGTCGAGACTGAGGGTACAAATGTGGGGTACCTTATAGCCAACTAATTGGTGAAATCCACCTTATCAGAAAATATATGATGTTCTCAGGATACTCACCTCTTGGATATGTTTCTCAATAGATTTGAGCTTTGAATCAGCATCTTCATTATCACGAACTAAATCAGATCGCATTTCTCCAATTGATTTATCAAGATTGTAGCAATATAACTCCAACTGTGACAATCGTGAACTTATTCCCTCAAGAAAGCACAAGAGGTTGTCCGTATATTTTTTCATGGTTTTCTCAACAGTAGCAGTCAAGTCCAAGTATGCATCGTCTGGTTGATTGTATGCGATAGGTGGGAACATCGATCGCGCCACTCCATCCTTGTGAAAATCCTGCAGAGGTCAGTGTGAGAACATTATTAATTATATATCTTGAAGTCAAAGGAACCAAAAAATACCACTAGCATGGCAGTGGCCAAAAATGAACAACTGTAGCTCAATTTTCCCGAGAATAAATAGGATATGTAAAGAAGATCAAAGGTTCAATCCAATAATATGTGCATGTGAACTTTTCTAGGTTTGGTCATTTTTTCTCTAGGCCCTAGGTAACTACAAAGACAAATGCTTTGGATCAAGGACTGAAATGCGATAAAGATATATACTATGGCAAATAAAACCCCGAAATGGTGGATTTGACCTCCCTCGTCACCGACAACTACAAAACTTTAGCATGTGATTAGTGTTGAGAGAAAATTTGATTCAAAATGGTAATTTGCTTTTCGATCAAAACACATTCTCCAAAATTTAAACCTAAAAATACTACATAAATACCACAAATGTGATATACTATAATGACTAAGTTCAATAAAGTTTCTCACTACCCCATTTAAGAATAAACTTCAGCCCAACATCAGGTTTTACTCCCTGCAATATGCAACTAGAAAACCCAGAACCCCACCCCCAAAAGGAAACAAGCTCCAGCAATGGAAGGGGGGAATTATAGAATGTGAAGGTTCAGATGGACCGAGGCGATGCTGGGGTGCATCGCACTCCTGAAAATTTCAAATTCTCCTATAGTTTAGGCATTTTATTTCTATTTTTTCACCCTTAAATTTAGTAATTTTGGGCTCCTAAATTTTTAATATAACATTTAAGTTCGAATCTCCCACATAAAATCCAGAGTCCGTAACTAGATTCACTTGTACAAACTCAAATCTTCATGAATATTACAATTGTTTCCAATAAAAGTTTATAGATGTTCTCACACCTACAGCCCAAAAATAGGTAAAATGGAATGTTCTAACCTTCACTAACTTAAAGTCAACTATAGGTCAAACGGATTACCAAATTATAAAAAAATAAGCCTCTCTTTGTCAAATCAACCTATCGATAGAACCCTAATCCGATCAGATCCCCCTTCCCACACAAAAAAAACAAAAGAAAACCCTACATATAAAAAACCAACAATGGATACCTTGCTGGAGCTGCTGGTGGTGGTACCGATTGCAGTTTCGGCGTGGTTACCATTAGACAATTCCTGGTTCCCGTAGTCCTCGTAAGAGCAAAGAATATCATCGGACCCAAAATCGAACCCTTTGGAACCACCCAAGTTGCCCCTACCCGATAACCTAGAAGCCATTTTCCCTGAAAAAGGATAAGAAAAACAGACTTACCACAAATCGAAACAGTGAAATTAGTTCTCTCGAGATATATCGAAAGAGGTAAGTGAAAAAAATATAGACTTTTAGGGCTTCTATTAAAACTGGGTAAAGCGGTTTAAACTATAATGGAAAACAAAGATTGTAATTGAAGCTTGAACTGACTTGTTTACAAAGGAAAGGAAAGGAAATTTCTTTGAAGCTGTTGGTTGTGTTGAAATTTGTGGAAGACGAAAATAGAAGTGGAGAAACGTTTTAAAAATAGGGTTTTTATGATCCTTCTGCCTCCACATTTATTATTTGGATCTCGCTAATTTCAACACGCATGTAAAATATTACCTACCAAATTATCTATATACTATATGGTCTTATTTAATCAATTTTTTATTTAAATTTTGATATTCATTTAGTAGTTAATTATTTTAGTTAAATGTTATAAAATTTTATTTATAAAAATAATCTTATCATTTTAATTTGTTTCATTCACAATATTAACATTTTAATTTCAAAATTTATTTAAAGCATTTACTGTGTCATTTCATTAAACCGATTAATTATTGATTTGTATTGTATGATCTATTTCTTTTATTAGTCTTTGATGATTACATTATAGTGTCTCTATAGAATATTGCTTAGTCATAGATAATACACACATATAGACTAACTACTCAAATCAATAACCTCTAAGAAGAATGATACTTTATTTTACTACTAAGACTACTTAATGTGTTCGCGTAAAATATTTATCTATGTTGATGTAATTGTTAAAACATACAAGCTATCAATTGATTTAACAATATGAGACGTTAGTTTAATGCATAAGATTTCAATTGATAAATTATAAATTAAATAAATTAAATTAAAAGAATCACCTTTATAATAAAATTTTGAAACATTTAAATTTAAATTGATCTATTAATATATTAAATATTATGTAATTATAAAACAAAACGTTAAAATACAAATAATATAAATAAGATAATAATTGCCGCATCATTTTGTTTCTATTCTCATTATCTTATATTATCTTCAGCACCTTATTCATATGATGGTGAATGAGTGATGCTTCAATAGTTATAGTAGACGCTACTTTAACATATTTGATAAAGCAAACCTAAAACATTATTTTTTTTATTAGAAATGTTAATATTGGGCGTTACCTATAATGTTATTTTTTATCGAAAATTAGGTAACGAAATTAATATTTCCGGTAAAAAAATAATGTTTTAGGTAATATTTTACTGAAAATGTTAAAAAATATTAGCATTTTCGGTATTATTTTTCCTTAACATATATTAAAGTTGCCGTACAGCAGAACTATCCTAATTTTTACTTTAATTTTAAAGATAGATTATGTCGTTTCACTTGCTGTTTTGGAATCTAAAATCGTTTTAACTGCATGAACCAATTTACCTCAATGATTAAGAGAATTATTGTTGTTCCTCGAAGTTACGAGTTCGAGCACCAACTCACTGTAAGGGTGATGAAGCGTTTATTATCAAATGATTGAGAGTATTTAGAACATATACTATTTTATAATCATCTTATTTTAATAAAAAATAAAATAAAATCGTTTCATGGCTTTGATTTATTACGACCTTCATAATATATAAAAATATAATTATTATTTAATAATAAAAATTATAATCATACAATTAAAAAAAATTAGGTTGTAAAATAATATTAATTAATTATTATAGAAAATTTAATTCAAATTAAATTATAAAATTTCTTGTCAAACCTTACAAAATATATCCTAAGTTACAGTCAAAATCAAGTTACAATCATATTTGAAGTTATAATTATTATATGATCTTGATCGAAAATATCTTATCATATGGTAACTATATTTGAAATATTTGATATTGATATAAATTTAAACTCATATATCTTTTTACAAAAAAAAAATATTTAATTCTTTTAAATATCGAATTGATAAATTAATGTTAAGTAGTTGTATTATCGTTGTCCTGGACTACTGACATTTTCAGGACCGGGGTTAGGACGTTGGAGGTCCTGTGCAAATTCTTAAAAAGAGACCCTTTCTCATAAAGTAGACTTAGACCCAAAAAAATGAGATAAGTTTTTTAGTTGTAGCACAATACTAATTATTGGTATTTTCCATATGACTTCAATAAAATTCGACCGTAGGTTATGTGGTTTTGGACCAAAAAATTTTACTACTGATCTATAATATTTTGTTTGATTTTATATTATAACAATAGTAATAAATCCAATTTTTTTAGGCCCTTACTATTCTAAGATCCTGTTTCGTCGCACACTTTGTGCCTCCCTAAGCCCCGTCTCTGGACATTTCCATTCTCTAGACAACCCAATAACCATGGACAACAATTGGATCATCAAATCCAAGAACATCACATGGGGATGACCCAATACATCTTTACAATAATTGCTGCAAATATAAACATCATGACACGTCAGATTAATATTCAAGAACATCTCCATAGCTACATTATCAATAGACTAAGAAAAATTCAAAAAAAAAATCTCCTTGAACCAAACTAAACTGTTGAACATCAATCTCTTTTCTTCAAAGTTAAAGTTCAACGAAGTTACAATGGCTCTCAAAAAAGAAATCCCATACATCAATAATGTAAAGTTGATCGAATTTGAACTATTTAAAATAGAAACTATTTTTACAACTATTTTACATATATATTGGAGATATTAAATATATAGTTTATAGATGTAATTGTTTAAATTTAAGTCATTTAAAGAAAACGTTACATTTTCCTATTCAAATTACTTAATGATTTTCTTTCTTTTGTAATTAAATAATCGTAACCAAACGAAAAATCATAAACGATCGTGAATTATACGTAACGAGTTTACAGTAATACCCCTTCCAGATTCCAAATTCACTCTACAAATATTCGTTTCCAGGTCTTTCTCTTTTATTTTAAGCCCAGAAAACTTGATATATTTGAGGGACTGTAATGGAAATTACGCAATAACTGCCGTGAACGAATAGGGAAAACTTGGATGATTGTGTAATTAGATCTGGATCGTACACGTGTCATACAATAATTGACTGTTTTCCCGGAATCATTAGCCTACCAGTACCTCGGAAACATCAACATGTCCGCAAAATAAATTCCTTCATTTATTTTGCTATTACGAAACTGCCATTTTGTAACTTTTTTTGTTAAAAATTATATGATACGATAATTAGTGAGTAATTTACGTAAGGAATGAGCGGATGATTTTATAATAGAGAAAGATGGAATTTATAAAATTTTAAAAGAGATAAATTTATAATTAATAATTAATTAGTCTAATAAGATGATGTACTAGAAATTTTAAGTTAATAAAAAAATATATTAGGGGCGAGCAAGTAATTGCAAAAGCAAGTGGGTGGCGTGATTTGCCGCGTAAATGTTGGAAACTTGCAATAACCAATTGGCAACGGCAACCTCCACTATATATAAATGCCGTCAAACACCGGATTTTTTTCTCATAAAATTTCCCCCTTTTTTCTTCAAACTTCTCATCCAAGAAAGAAAAGAAGACCTTTCCGTATCTCCAAAGTTCTGTGAATCAGATTTGCTTATTTATCGTCATATCCATGAAGAAAGCAGGGCTCTTCGCCGCCTCCGTCGTTGCTGCCTCTGCTTCCTCCAATTTCACTTGCAACTCCAATTTTCAGTTTTCCAGTGAGGTAAAATCTTTGAACTCAATTCTGGGTCTTTTTCTTTCACTCTGCGTTAGTTGAAAACTGGGTTTGTGTTTTTTCTTTTACTAAATCTTTTTCCGGCCTTGGGTGTTGCTCTGTTTGGTTGCCAAGAAATTAATGACAAAAGTGTTCGATTTAATTTAATTTTGCAGGACAATAAAGAGTATGAAAATTCGTCTGCAAACAAGAAATCAACTTCAACTGAGAAATTTGCACCGAGGTTTGATGGGTTAAGGTTCATTGAGACTTTGGTCACTGCTCATCGATGAAACTTGATGAAGAATTCCATTAATTGTCAACTTTTTGGCCTTTTAGTTCATCCTTCTAAGAAAGAAAAGAAAGAGATGTAATGCATCAGTATGTTTAATTGTATGTCTTATCAGTCAATCGGATGATATTACTTTGAATGCTCAAAATAATTGAAATTCGATTGATAATTAAATACGATTTATTGTTGTACGACAGTCTAATTTAAGGTTAGTTTAAAACGTATTTTAACTTAAAATATTACATTTTTTTACCCTAAAAAATTTATAATTAATAATAATTTTGGTACTATAACCAATAATATTAAATTGTGGTGGGTTTAACCTAAAATACTATTTGTCTACTTTAAAAATATACACTATTGATGATAATTTCGGTTATAATCGAGAATGTTTCAATGATAGTTTTTTAGGTTGTAACTAAAATAATTATATAATTTATATGATTTGTTACAAAAAAACGTAATACTTTCAGTTTTAATCTAAAATAACAATTTATTCTAAAAAGTTACACTCGATAAGTTTCTCGATTGTACTTGATTTATGTTATTTGTTGTATTTTAGACTCATTGTTGATTTGTTAAGCTACTCCAACACAAAAGAGTGTTTGTTTTGAATTTCATGTTGTGCTTAACTACTCAAAAATTGAAGATAAGTTAGGTAGCTAAAGATGGGAAGTTTCTTTGGCAAACCTAATTTATCTTCGCCTTTTGAACAAGCTTTAGGCTTTTTCTACGTGTTTGTTTAATCCCACTTTGCACTTTGACACTTCAACGTCCAATTTAGCTTTATGATTTGCTGACCATGTCCACTCTTGAAAGCAAGATTACCCACTTTTCAAATGTCATCCTCTAAATGGATGCTTTATTAATAACATTATTCATTAATCAATTAATTTAAATCAGATCATATAAAGCACGAATCACATGACCTCGGTGATAAAGAAATTGTTATTATTTTTTGAAGTCCCGAGTTCAAGTATCATAAATATCAGGGGTGTGAGCGTTAATGTCAAAAAAATCATATCATATAAAAAATATTATAAAAATGATTTTCTCAATTTTACTTTCTTCATTTATATCACCCCACTTTTATTAAAGAAACTAATATTTCATACTAAAATACTACTTTTTTAAAAAATAATTCTATATGTAAATCGGATCACAGTTCAACATCCACATCTTTAAGTTATTTCATTCTCCTTCATCATCCATTTAAGGGGATGGATGGTAATGGACGTCAGATTTTTACTCACATATCACTATTTTAAAATTAAGCATTAGTGTTAAAAAATAAAATAAAAATTAAGCATTAAAATGACATTTACCTTATGTTATTTATAAAAAAATAAGATTCCCATAAATATAATTATACACATATTTCAAAAAAAAAAGTGTTTGATAAGGTATACGATTGACCTACTTGACACGAAAACAGTCAAAAGGTTATATTAGAGGATCAAATCTAAAAAAAAATATTAAAGAGAAAACATTATATGAATTTTATTAAAAAATGAAACATGCGATCATGAGCATGAGCCAAGCTAAATGACGGCGGCGGTACACGTATACGAATTCTGTCTTTAACCATTTAATGATCATATATTAAAATGATATATTTAAACATTAAAAAATAGATATGTATGTAACTAACGTGTGATTTGCATTCCTTAATTCACATAAATTATATATTGAATTTTTTTTAACCGTTTAAATACAATCTTGTAAACATATACAATCATTTTCAATTGATTTATCACGTAAATAAAAATTTAACTAATCAATCGTATCTTTATGAAAGGATATTATCTAAATAATAGTGAATCTTTAAAACGATGATATACGAATAAAAGAACCCTCTATTTTAAAATATTTATCATTATGCCATTTTGTTTTGGGTGCATACCGCCTTTTTGGTAATTAATGTCTTATCTTGGACACTCCAAAAGATTGAGGTGAGGCCGAAATGGAATCCCATTTCATTTCATTGTCAGTGCAGGCTCTCTGACGATGAAACCCACTCTTCTTCTTCATGGTTGAAGATCATAAATGTAATGCTGAAGTTTGGAGAATGAATCTTATCTTCTCTTTGTTTCTTTGCTTTATGACTTGATTTGTGTTGAATACAGTAGCGGATTCACAACTTCTCGAGGGTGAATAGATATTCACTTTAAAATTTAATTTTTTTCAATTAATTATTTATTTTATTGATGATGTATATCTTAAAATTTTATTTATGTCTATTTCATACAAAATTAATATGTTAACATATAATGTGGCGAGTTCTGATTTGCATTTAGCTTGAAATTGGAAGCTGAAAATGATGTTTTCAGGACTTAAGATTTGTAGTGTTTTTTAGCCAAGTTATACCCATTTTGCTGAAAATGGTGTGTTGTTAATCCACGTAGAGAAAAAAATTACCCTCCAACTTTATACAGTGGTTTATACACATACTTTTAATGTTTGTGTATGTACGTTGATAAGATAAACATATATAATTGTCGAATAATAAATATGATTTTAATAAATTATATGAATAATTAATGATCATGTCGAATAACATAACTAATCAAAAATATATAATTCAGATGACTTTGTCGATAACAGAATAAATAATGAATACATATGTTATTTTACAACACAACTGTTATGTAATTTTCCTTTGACATGAAATGGAAGGGTAGGTTGTAGTCTTGTAGACCCTTACTCAAAAGAAGATGTTGAGAAGTCAATCTCCATTAGAGACGTGTTATGCGACTAGTCTTTTAACGTAAGATGAATGTACAAACGCAGAACTTTATATTAGGAACGTAACGTATAATTTTTTTAAAAAAAAATTGATCAATAAAATTTTACGGTGAAAAGCCCACCTCAATGTACTCTTCTCCTTCTGCCATGAGATATAAAGAAGCTGCACAAGGGTTGGTGAGTGTGGTAAAACAGAGTTTTGCTGGTTAAAGAGGAGGATCGACGGTGGGAGAGAAACGCAAACTTGGATTTGGATGTGGAGCAAACGCACCGACCTTTCTAATTTTCAATTAAAGCCAAAATTGGACGGTGGGGCTAAAATACCAATGTAGTTCGATCTTTAATTCTTTTATTATTTTTGGTCAGTTCTATCTTTCTTTTTTTCATTTCATCATCACCATTACTCTTTAGGGTAAAGTATTAAATGTTGACTTGATTATAAGAAATGGTTTTGTTGAATCTTTTGACTATTAAAAATTGTAAAATAATACTTTAATTATAGCATAGTATTTTGTTGAGTATATTAATTATTAAAAGTTACAAAATGGTCACTCAACTATTTATATGTTTAAAATTCATTCTTTTTCGTTAAAAATTGATGGTTGTCTAAACTGGACGTTAACCTGTTGACTAAGATATGATAAAATATTATCCCAAGATCTTTGAGCTAATTTTTGTGGATCAACTCTCCATTTATATTATGTCGTCGACTTAGTGCTTGAAAGCAACGTCAGTACCAGTAAATATCATTAAAATATGATTTTATCATATATCGATTAACAAATTAACGTTTAGCTTAGTCAGTCATCAATTTTTTTTAATAAAAAGGATAAATTTGAAACATATGAATAGTCGGATGATCGTTTTATAACTTAATAGTCAAGGAACTCAATAAAATAACATCTTATAGTCGGAGACCATTTTATAACTTTTAATAGTCAGAGTATTTAACCAAGCAATTCCCTATAATCGAGAGATCATTTGTGTACTTTACCCTAATCTTTAAACATCTTTTATTTATAATTTGTCACATGACATTTTGGTTTTAGAAACTTAAAACTAACTAAAATTTAAATAAAATCATAAAACAAAATTATAAAAAATCAGAATATAATTTTAAAAATTATAATTATAATTAATTTTAAAAAACAAAAAAATATAACAAGTATGTATATAATTTCTTAAATATAAAAAACGAGTTTTAAAAGAAATTTTGCCTTCTTGTGTCTTTTTAATTTTCTACTTCTTTATGAATTCGTGATAAAATTTGATTAAATCACATCATCATTTTCTTAAACACAAAACATTAAAATCTAATAAAATCGACGAAATTAAATTTCAAGAATTAAATTAATAAAAGAATAATAAAAAATTGAAGTGATAATTTCACTAAAAGTAAAATAGTTAAAACCATGTATTAAGTTAATATTAGTTAGACTTTCTCAAATTTCCAATTATGGTATGTAGACTAATTGGTCATCCAAAAATTACATTTTGTTATTATTTTACTAGCAATAAACTTAGTATTCAATTCAATTTTTTTAAAAAAAGTTTTGAAATTGACAGTAAACATTTGAACGTTTTTTTATAATTCAACAATCAATATTATTCTTTTTTCTTCCCTTTTAACACTAAGCTTTGAGCAATTAAAAATATTCATAAATATTTACCCTCGCATAATAATAAAAATCAATATTATTCTATTTTCCCCCTTTTAACACTAGGTTTTTAGCAATAAAAATAACAATAGTATTTTATAAATTAAAATCCTATTAAGTATCCAACTAGGCTTCTTAGTACTTCTTAATTCTCTAGCGTTTTATTGGTGTATCTTCTGTCTTCTTTGGATTCCTTTTTCATAGTTCCTCATAGCTTCGGCTATAGATGATTACTTGAGGTCATGTCATTCTTTTAGATCCCATAGGGCGTATAGGGGGCGGGCTCGACAGAGTGGTGTCAAGGAGACTAGTCTTAGAGTTTGTACGTTGAATGTAGCCACTTTAAATGCTAGGCTGCTGGAGCTGACCGACATACTAAGTAATAGGAAAATAGATTTTGCATGTATTTAAGAGACTAGGGGGAAAGGGGCTTGCGCCAGAGAGTGTAACGGGTACAAGTTGTGGTATTCAGGCGTAGATAACGCTAGAAATGAGGTGGTTATCTTGGTATCCTCTAGGCTCAAGGAAAATGTAGTTGAAGTTTGTAGATACCGTGATAGGATCATGATTGTTAAGGTTATTATAGAAGTGGAAGTAGTGAATGTCCTTTCAATGTACGCCCCACACGTTGGCCTAAGGGAGGGTGAAAAACGTTGTTTCTAGGATTCGTTAGATGATGTACTTAGGAGCATTCCGGATGACCAAAGAGTTTTCATAGGGGGAGACTTCAATGGCCATATAGGTAGTGAAATCGACGGGTATGAAGGTGTTCATGGGGGTTTCGGTTTTGGTAGTAGGAACGAGGAGGGGCGTACGTTGCTTGAATTTGCTACTGCACACGATATGGTGGTCACTGACTCATTCTTTAACAAGAGAGATGTGAACTTGATTACGTTCCATAGCGGGGGACATTGCACCTAAATCGACTACTTCCTGGTTCAAAATCGGGATCGATGGGCTTGCATTGACTGTAAGGTGTTCCCTGAAGAGGCATGTGCATCACAATACATATTGTTGGTTTTGGTGTTCTGCGTATACCACGGGCGGATCACTCATAGGAGGGTTAAACTAGGTAAACCTAAGATCCTTTGGAAGAACTTACATGGAGCGACAACTGATGACTTTAGGAGTAAGGTTTTGTGTCATACAAGTTTTGGAACTACAAACTCAAATAATGCAGATATGTTATAAAACAATATGGCAAATTCCATCAGAGAGGTTGTAATACCCCAAATTTTGGTTAGTGACCAAAATGTAACTTTTGAAAGTTTGATGGTCAAAGTATAAAACTTGGAAGAAATTTTAGGAAATTAAGTGGTAAAGTTCTTGAAAAGAATTTATTTCATAATTAGATAGTTTACTCTTGAGAGTGGGGTTTTATGGAAGTATATTTTGAATTTGGAATTTTGGTAAAGAAAAATTAGAAAGGGTTAAAACCGTAAGGAATCGGTAATTTCAGATTTAATTGGAATCTTACAAAAATTTGAAGGATGTTATAAATAGTTAGAAATATTATTTTAATATTTTGGATCAGATAAATTTGGTCTGAAAATATGGAAATTTTCAGATTTAATCGAAACAGTGGAATTTAGTGACTAAAATGCAAGTTTTGAAATTTCATGGGAAAATTCAGAAATTTAAAGTCAAAATATTTCATCTTTGACTTTGAATTATGATAAGGATGAGTTGTCATGGTTTTATGGTAAATAAGAAGATTCATTAAGGGTAAATTGGTCTTATCCCAATTAAGTGAATA